AAAAAAAAAAAAAAAAAAATGCAAGAGCAGGCCAAGTTCAGTGACTCAGCCTGTAGTCCCAGCAACTTGGGAAGCCGAGGCGAGCGGATTGCCTGAGTGTGTAGGTTCAAGATCAGCCTGGGCAATTTGGCAAGAACTCATCTCTACAATAAATCAAAAATTAGCCAGGCATGGTAGTGTGAGCCTGTAGTTCTGGCTATTTGGAAGGCTGAGGCAGAAGGATCCCTGGAGCCCAGCAGGTCGAGGCTGTGGTAGCAGTGAGTGTGCTACTGCACTCCAACCTGGTCAACATAGTGAGACTCCAACTCAAATTAATTAATTAATTAAAAAATGCCAAAGCAGCCGGACTTGGTGGCTCAGCCTGTAGCACGGCACCTTTGGGAGGCTGAGGTGAGTGGATTGCCTGAGCCTGTGGGTTCGAGACCCGCCTGGGCAGCAAGACCTCATCTCTACAATAAATAAAAAATCAGACGGGCGTGGTAGCGCATGCCTGTAATTCCAGCTACTTGGAAGGCTGAGGCGGAAGGATCGCCGGAGTCCAGCAGGTCGAGGCTGTGGTGGCTGGAGGCAGCCACTGTACTCCAGTCTGGGCGACAGAGTGAGACTCCAACTCGAAAAAATAAAAAATAAATGCCAAAGCAAATGATGTAAATAGTATCTGGAACTCTGCACACCCTTCCACTCACTGTCCTTGGTCCAAAGGGAGACTTGGGCATCAGCAACCTGGTTACCCACCCACCCCCAGCTCCCAGCATTGTAAGCTGTTCTGGGCTCTCAGCGTAGCTTCCAACATTAAGAAAAACAGGTATTTGACTGGGTGCGGTGACTTACACCTAAAATCCCAGTACTTTGGAAGGCTGAGGTGAGAGGATTGCCAGAGCCCATGGGTTAGAGACCAGCCTGGGCAACTTGACGAGATCGCATCTCTACAATAAATCAAAAAATTAGCTGGGCATGGTGGTGTGTGCCTATAGTTCCAGCTACTTGGAAGGCTGAGGAAGGATCACCTGAGCCCAGCAGGTCGAGGCTGTGGTGGCTGTGAGCGTGCCACTGCACTCCAGCCTGGGCAACATAGATTCCAACTCAAGAATAGAAAGAAAAATAGGTATTCCTCACACCACATGGCCCCTGAATGCAAAACATCTCCTTACTCTGGTGCTCAAGAGAAGAAACAGCAGCCTGTGACAGCTGCTGAGACAGAATGTAGTCTCCAGTGGAGAACCTTCCAAAGGGCAATTCTTCCTCCTTTTCCTTCACCCCTTCCCCTCTTCTCCCTTCAAGTTCAGTCCTGAAGCTATTAAGTGGGACACAGCAAGCCAGGTGCCTGCAGTGTGGGAAGGGAGGGCAGGTGGCTCACAGAGAGTGTCAAAACCCAGAGAGAATGAGGAGGGAGCCCAAAGCATGTGCAGCTGCCTGATGTGGCGTGTCAGACCCTAGCAGGTGAGGAATGTGAACAAGGGGGGACTGGCTGCCATAAGGGTTCCTTCCTTTCTCCGTTTCTCATTCCCATTTCTCCATCAGTGTATTGCTCCTCCTCGAGGGGGAATGAATATGAAGCAGAGAGTGTGATGAGATATTCAGCACAGCATGCCATGTGGTTCTACCTCCTGGCTCAAGCCAGTCGGAGGACTGCGAGCAGTGTACCTGGACAAGTCAGTAACCTCTCTTCTCCTCAATTTCTCAACTGTAAAGAGGGAACATCAAGCCCTTAGCACAGTGTCCAGCCCATAGTCAGTGGCAGCTCTTTCTTCAGGCATCACTGTGTGGCTTTGAACAGGCACAGCCAGAGGAGTTGGGGATGTCCCCTCTGTTGCTGCCTCCAGGGTGGGAATTGCTTTAAAACCTTTCAGGAGACTGGGCACAGTGGCTCACGCCTATAATCCTAGCACTTTGGGAGGCCGAGGTGAGAGGATTGCCTGAGTTCAGAGGTTCGAGACCAGTCTGGACAACTTGGTGAGACCTCATCTCTACAATAAATCAAAAAAATTAGCTGGATGTGGTGGCACCAGCCTGTGGTTCCAGTAGTTCCAGCGACTTGGAAGGCTGAGGCAGAAGGATAGCCTAAGCCCAGCAGGTCAAGGCTGTGGCTACAAGTGTACCACTGCACTCCAACCTGGGCAACAGAGTGAGACTCCAACTCAAAACCAAAAAACAACAAGAAAAAACCTTACAGGAGCAATGTGGCTCTATCTATCAAAATGTAAAATACACCAACCTTTCAGCCCAGCTGCCATATTTCTCAGAATCTGCTCTGCATTAGCACCAGAACAAAGGCACAAATGCATGTACAAGGATGGTTCCTGAGAAAAATGCTGGACGTTATTCAAGTGATTGTCAATAGGGGACTGGCCAACAAAGAGGATGAGGCAGATTGATATGAACCAAGACAAGCAATGCCCACATTATAATATGAAGAAAGTCAATTGCAAAATCATATTTGGTGTATGATGTCATTTGTGTGAAAATGTAAAATAACTATAAAAATAGCAGGCCAGGCGTGGTGGCTCATGCCTGTAATTCCGGCATTTTGGGAGAGGCAAAAGAATCACCTGAGCCCAGGAATTTGAGACCAACTAGGCAACATGGCATGTATAATCAAAAAATTAGCTGGACATGATGGCATGCACCTATAGTCCCAGCTACTTGGAAGACTGAGGTAAAAGGATCGCCTGAGTCCAGCAAGTTGAGGCTGTGGTAGCCATGATTACGCCATTGCACTCCAACCTGGGCAACAGAGTGATACTCCAACTCAAAAAAAAAAAGAAAGAAAAGTTTGCATTCCATCCATAAATAAGTATACAAAAATATCCATATCCATACCCATATATTTGTCTGAGTGTGTGTGTGTACAAATCAATGTTTTGCTGGGCACGATGGTTCACACCTGTAAACCCAGCACTTTGGGAGGTCAAGGCAAAAGGATTGCCTGAGCCCAGGGGTTCGAGACAGCCAAAGCAACTTGTTAAGACCTCATCTCTACAATAAACCAAAAAAATTAGCCGGGAGTGGTAGCACACGCCTGTAGTTCCAGCTACCCGGAAGGCTGAGGCAGAAGGATCACCTGAGCCCAGCAGGTCAAATCTATGGTCACTATGAGTGTGCCACTGCACTCCAGCCTGGGAGATAGAGTGAGACTTCAACTCAAAAAAAAAAAAAAAAGAGAGAGAGAGAAAGGCATATAAAAGTTTACTGTACTATTCTAACAAATTTGTTTACATTGGAAATATTTTCAAAATAAAGTTAAAAATATAACATAAATAAAAATAAAGATCAAATGAAAGATAGTCAAGCTTCTGGGAAGCCCACTACAGATGAGGGTGCAGAGGCCTGGAAGGACCTTTAGCATGTGGGCGAGGCCTATGGCCTCCAGGAAGGGTTGAGGTTTAAATCTAGGTTAAATGAATGGCTTTATTTTTTCTATGACTCTTTTTCCCAAATATCCAATGTCCTTGGCAATACTGTTGAATCTAGGAAGAATCACAAATGCAGTTTATGGTCTGACCAAGGAACTGAAGAAAGCCTTCTGTCGATTCTGATGACTGGCGTGACTGGTTTTTATGGTGCTGCCAAGTCACAGTTTGGGAGACAAGGCCAGAGAGTCTGTCCTTTCAAGATCCAGTCACCACAAAGGTTCGCCTGAGTCCATGGGAAGGTTCCAGATCGGGCTTTCTGACAGCCAGTGTCCTCACCTTCGATGATCTGCTCCAATGGCATCAGTGACTCTGTCAAAGCCCTGCTCTCTGAGAAAAGAGCAAACAAAGCAATTTCAGCAAACAGTGCAGAATGGGCCCTGCTCTTCCAGGAAGCCTACACCCACCATAAGTGTACCATCCCTTCCCAGGTACATCCAATGCCCTCTTCATCCCGGGACCTAGAGATATTTCGACCCAGGCTTTCAGAGCAGGAAGGGAAGTAGTGTTAAGACCTGACAGCTTCCTGGCATCGAGTCAGTGTGACCTAGTTAGTGGGAATGTTACCAGGATTCCTGAGGCTCCTCTTCCTCAAATAAATGGACAACTCTGCCTTGTAAACACCACTGCCTTGGAGGTTAATACTGACTCCCCTTGGCACTTTTTGTTCTTTGTCAAAAGAGTAATGAAGTAATCCCCCCACCCTCAGGTTTAGAATGTATCCTGCACTCATTTTTGAATGAATAATAAATAGATGAATAGCACCCCCCTTGAGTCATTCCAAGTTAACTTCTCCTAACTTCTGTTTCAAGACACACACGGCCCCACTCACTTCAAAAGGGCTTCTAGCTCCCGCTTGATTGTGCCCACCACGGGTGGCCCCTGGTAGGTGAGGGCTGTGTACAGCTGCACCAGAGAGGCCCCAGCCTGGATCTTCTCCAGCGCATCCTGCCCGCTGCAGACACCGCCAACTCCGATTATGGGGATTCTGCCTGCAGAGAAGCACGTGGCAACACCAGGAAGAAGACAAGACCCAGGACCTCAGTCTGGCTTCAGGCCTACAGCCCCTTCCCTTCCCCCACTTCACCCAACATGGCAGATTAGGGAACAGTGATTCTGATCACGGCCCAGGAGCTCAAACCACACACAGATCTGAAGACATAACAGCAGAATCCTTGCCTTGGGTGAGTGCATACATCTCCCGAATGGTTTGAGTTGATAAGTCCCGGAGTGGCTTCCCACTCAGCCCTCCTGTTTCTGAGCACAGGTCACCCTGGAGGCCAACAGGGCGACTCACTGTGGTGTTCGTGACAATCAATCCATCAATGCCCAACTGCAGTACAAGACAGAAAAAAAGCCCCGAGTCATGGCACTGAAGGACTCGGAGAAGCTCCTATGGAGATCTGAGGCAACAGCTGGGCCAGGTGCCCCCACAATAGCCCCCAGAAGAGCAAGAGCTATACCAGTCCTCAGTAACTTTGTTGCTTGAGCATCAGAATGAGCCACAACTTGACAACAGTAGCCATCACATATGGACCACCTATAAGGCTCCACTAGGACAAGGTTTAATCCTTATAACAACCCATTTTATAGTGTCTCCCCCTCTGAGGCCTCAGGTAAGTGGTGGACCCAGGATTTGAAGCCATAACTACCAGACTCAGTCCGTGTTTCCACAACCCTCTATGCCATAGAGACTTGATGTTCAGTCAAACTGAGTATACTCCAGTCCCAACAGAAACGGGCCATAGATACCAGTATAAACCTTAACCTTGCTGGATGAAGATGAGGAAAAGAGGAAGGAAGAAGCTTGAGAAAAAGACTCATTCAAACATTTAGACTTTTTATAAGATGAATTACACTGTGACAGCCACTGAAACAGTCTTCAAAGAGAAAATCACAAAGAGAAAATCACAAGGCTGCCATCTAGAGCTATCCCTACTGGCCAAATGGTCTCTGCAGAGCCCAGGGCCCCAACTCAAACCTCTTTCACCACATTGGCGATGTCCTCCTTGTCCTGCGCCGTGAGATCAGGGGCGATCTTCACAAGTACCGCTGGCTTACGGGCTTCCTGCAAGGCATCCCTCTCCTGCAGCACCTGGGGCAACACATGACCAGAGACTGAGACCCCTGGATCATGGTCTGACAGTACAACTGTGACCTACAGCACAGGTCAGTGTGTTTTTTCTTTTCTTTTTTGAGTCGGAGTCTCATTCTGTTGCCCAGGCTGGAGTGCAGTGACACGCTCATGGGCACCGTAGCCTTGACCTGCCGGGCTCAGGCAATCTTTCCACTTCAGCCTTCCAAGTAACCAGAACTACAGATGCATGCCAGTACACCTGGCTAGTTTTTTTATTTACTGTAGAGACGAGGTCACACCAAGTTGCCCAGGCTGGTCTTGAACCCCTGGGCTCAGGCAACCCTCTCACCTCGGCCTCCCAAAGTGCTGAGATTATAGGCTTGAACCACTGCGCCCGGCTTTTCTTTTCTTTTTGAGTTGGGGTCTCACTCTGTCACCCAGGCTGGATACAGTGGCACAATCATGGCTCACCACAGCCTTGACCTCCTGGGCTCAGGTGATTCTTATGCCTCAGCCTCCCAAGTAGCTGGGACTATAGGCAAACAGCACCACACTCAGCTAATTTTTTAATTTTTATTTTTGTAGAGACAGGGTCTTGCTATGTTGCCTAGGCTGGTCTTGAACTCCTGGCCTCAATCTTCCCACCTCAGCTTCCCAAAGTGCTAGAATTATAGGCACCCAGCAAGGTCGATGAGTTTTCACACAAGCTATCAAACTAAAGCATGAGCAATTCTCCTTTTCAGGAATCCCAGGCTTCAGTTATTCAGGGGACCCATCGAGATGGATCTGACTTGGTTCTTTTGAACCAGGGGATCCCCATTGACATGACAAATATCTTAAGGTTTTTTAGATCTGTTCCTAAAAGGGAACTAGTAAATAGTGCCATCAGTACTGGGTGATGAAAAGGCATTCGATTCACTCATTGTGCTAGGTGCAAGGGACAGAGCGAAAATGAGAAAGACATAGTTCCTGCTTTAGTGGCAGTCACAGGTAACTGAACAATTAATGACTATCGCCTATAACCAGTGTTGTCACAGGGGATCAGAGGGTGCTTCAGGAGGGTACAGCAAGGGTCCTAACTGTCCAGGTGCTGAGAACAGCTTCTGGGAGTGATGTCAAAGCTTCACCCTGGAGAATAAACAAGAGCAGGTGGGGCAGGCTGGCAGAAGGGGCCATGGTGGTGTAATTGCTCACCCTGGTCAGCAGGCAGCGCAGCTCAACTTTTTCCTGAAGGCTCCGCAGCCCAGCAGTGTTGGGGCTGGACACATTCACCACCAGGTAGTCAGCCAGGGGCCCCAGCACACGAACTCCCTCTACGTAGTCCGCAGCAGCATCCTCTGAAGTCTTATTCTTCCCCAGGTTTATCCCCAGCGGCAGTCCATCTGTAAATATCGCCAGCCAAGATTCTGTCCCCACACACCATTTCCTGCGCAACACTGAGGACTAAACAACCCAGGAGCAGCCTCGTAGGTCTTCACCTCCAAACTTGAACTTTCCCACACCAGCTGACAAACAGGGGAAACTATGGCATGGTTCCCCTGCCTGCTGACGAAAAACAGCTCGCCATCTTTGTACAGAAAAGTCTGGGCAACTATGAGGATGTTACACTGCATTTTGCCCTTTTATTTTTCAAAAATTAATGGAAAACGGATAAATGAGGAGTACAAATACCAGTGATACAAAAAATGGGTCTCAGAAGTTGTTGTTGTTATTGTTGTTTTTGAGTCAGAGTCTCACTGTCAACCAGGGTGGAGTGCAGTGGCACGGTCAAGGCTACTGCAGCCTCAATCTGCTAAACTCAATCCTTCCACCTCAGTCTTCCAAGTAGCTGGAACCACAGGCACGTGCCACCATGCTGGCTAATTTTTTTTTTGAGTTGGAATCTCACTCTGTCACCCAAACTGGAGTGCAGTGGCCGCTTGTGGCCACTGCAGCCTCGACCTGCTGGGCTCCGGTGATCCTTCTGCCTCAGCCTTCCAAGTAGCTGGAACTACAGGCATGCGCTACCACGCCCGGCTGATTTTTTGATTTATTGTAGAGATGAGGTCTCACTGCCCAGGCGGATCTCGAACCCACGGGCTCAGGCAATCCACTCACCTCAGCCTCCCAAAGGCGTGGGATTACAGGCTGAGCCACGGAGCCCAGCTTAATTTTTTTATTTATTGTAGAGATGAGCTCTTGCCATGTTGCCCAGGCTGGTCTCAAACCCCTGGGCTCAGGTAATCCTCTTGCCTTGGCCTCCCAAAGTGCTGGGATTACAGGCATGAGACACCGTGCCCCACAGGCCTCAGAAGTTTAATAAAACTGAGAATAAACAAATCAATAGGCATGTCAGAAGGGATAACTTTAATTTCAAGGGATGCTTGTTGGTCTTGCGTCAAGTAACTGGAAGTACAGTTGCGAAGAAAAAAACTGAACTAAAGAACATGTATAAGCTGGGCATGGTGGCTCATGCCTGTAATCCTGGCACTTTGGGAAGTAGAGGCAGGAGAACTGCCTGACGACAGGAGTTCAAGACCAACTTGGGCTACATAGAGAGATCTTGTCTTCATAAAAAATTTTTTAAATGACCCAGGTATAGTGGCACACACCTGTAGTCCCAGCTACTTGAAAGGCTAAGGCAAGAGACTTCAGTTAGTTATGATCACACCACTGCCTCCAACCTAGGCAACAGAGAAAGACTCTAATTAAAAATAAAAACAAAAAAAAACCATGGGAAAATATTTTCCATTATCATGCCTAAAATGTAGAGATGTAATTATGTTTTTTGAGGGTTTTTTTTTTAAACAGGATCTTGCTCTATCATCAGGCTGGAGTGCAGTGGCACAATCATACCTCACTGCAACCTCAAACTTTTGGGCTCAGGCAATCCTCCTGTGTCAGCCTCCTGAGTAGCTGGGACTAGATGTACACACTACCCAGTTAATTTTTTATTTTTTGTACAGATGGTGTCTCGCTATATTAGCCAGGCTGGTCTTAAACTCCTGGCATCAAGCAACCCTCCTAGCTCAGCCTCCCAAAGTGCTGGAATTACAGGAGTAAACCACTGCACCCGGCTTATAATTGTTTTATAATTTATAATGTTAGTTCTCTGAGAAAAGGGACTCCCCTGTATAACTGGGGTAACCTTACATCTTAGTGCCCCCAAGACAGCCTGATTACCCCTGTGGTCTGGGCATAATTATTAATGTCTGCCCTCTCTCACTCTCAAAAGTATCTCAATTTGCACATAAGTAACACAGTCGTCTTACTTAAAAATCCGTGGAACTATCAGTTGACTTACATTTTAGAACTCCAGAAAAAATTCTTTCTCAGATACATGCTATGTGTGAAAGAAAGAGGTTGCCTGTACTTGATTTCACCTAAGATACGATCCTAATTGCAAAGGCCAGTGGTACGTTAATGGTACAGGCTGCATTCTCCATCATATGAGGGCTGGGAAAAGCCCTAGCATACCAAGTTAGCGCAGAAAATGTGTGTCAGATCAGGGAGGATTGAACAACAACATCTAGGATGCTAATTACACCCCAAATCACACTTTCTTATCATCAGCCTGAAAGTAAAAGAGATTTGTGTAGCTACCTTTTTGGTGGAGGCTCAGGGGAGGGGACCAGAACCCAATTAGAAAAAAGCTAGAACCTCAGGGCTCAGGCAATCCTCTCGCCTCTACCTCCCAAAGTGCTGGAATTACAGGCATGTGCCACTGTGCAGGGCAGTGGTGAGGGCTCTGAGACAAAGTTTTTCTATTTTTTAAAAGTAAGACATTATGGTATTTAAATATTTGTGGGGGGAGGAAATCAATGTTCTCTAATCAGTCAAAGGAGTACTTTTGTTTAATAAGCATACCAAAGTACTCTATGCCTGAGGGCTTTCCCACATTCATTCCTTCTATAGTCAGGATTGCATAAAGCTGTCTGCCCACATGGGGCTCCTAGTCCAGTCAGGAAAGCTTGTTTCACTTCGTATTTGTAACAGAGAGATACTCTGATTATCTCTATTTTAAAGTTTGGTGATTCTCAGCTGGGTGATCTTGTACTCTTAGGAACATGTGGCAATGTCTGTAGACATTACAGAGGGTGCTACTGGTGTCTCATGGGAAGAAGTCCAGGACGCTGTTAAACACCCCCGAATGCACAAGACAGTCCCCAAGAAAGAATTCTCCAGGCCACTACATCAGTAGTGCCAAGACTGAGAAATACTGCTATAGAAGAAACAGCTGCCGAAAAAGCAAGTTACATGCTAGAGGCGAAACAACTAGCTTGTGGGATAGCAGAGATTTGAACCCAGGCCTGTCTGACTGCACCAACTCATTGTGCTCTGGTAAGTGGGACCCACAACAACATCTGCAACTTTAATACCCTGCATGAAAAGTTTAAATAGTTGTCTAGCTGTATGGCCCCTGTTAACCACTGTGAAAGCAGCTGAGTATCCGAGGATCCAGGCCTGGCTGTTGTTCCTGTGAATACCAGAATCCGAGGGTTTTGAGTTGAGTGTTTGTGGATGCTGCCATATAATCCCATGCTATTCCTGTTTTGCTAGACTTTTTCTAACTTCTCATGCTGTCTTTGTTGACTTCTGCTGGCCATTGTCCCTGGCAATGGCCTTTAAGACTGGTTTCAGCTCTTTGGGAGACCTAGAGGACCAGAAGAGGGTTGACTTCATTCTGGAGCCGAGACAGGGAATGATTTATCCATGATACATGCCATTTCCCCTCCTTTTTCAACTTGACTCCCTCACTCCCTAATTTTTTTTTCCTGCATATGAGCCAAAAGATGAGACCAAGAGTACAAATTTAAAACTAATCTAATCATAAAAACCAAAGGTCACCACCACCTTCCCTCAGAGTAAACAGCACTTTATTACTTCTGTCTGTGTCTGCTGTTGAACCTCAAATTAGTTCAGAGGAAAGAGAGGATCCTTCCGTTTCTTTCTCTGTGGCTTAAACAAATAGTAGCATTCTCAAAAGAGAACTTGCGCCCAAGTGAATCACGTTATTTTCAATAAATTCCAACAGCACTGCTATAGCAACTGTCTTAAGCATGATTAATGTAGGAAACATTAGGAAAGCATGTTATTATTATTCTAAATTAGGTTTTGCTTGAATTAATTTTTATGCATGGTTACTAAGATGTAAAAGAGTTTCTGAATTGCTAATTGTAACATTCCTTCTTTGGAGATGAGATGCGATTGGGAACACAAGGGCGCCCTGCTGAAGGATTTTTAGTTTGAACATTTGCCTGAGGGCCAACATATTATTTAGTCAGTAGCCTGCTAAGGAACTGGAGCTCGACACCCGTGGAGTCTTTAGTTAAAGATTTTCTTTTAGCATCACCCACCTGAATCTGCTTTGAGGAAAAGACACAATAGATATTAATATCATATTTTCATGGTGTGCAGAGGGTAGGAGAGGAAGAAGGCAATCCCCTACAGAGCCAACGGTACTCTTTTCTTTATGTCTTCAATTCTTTTTGTAAGTGAAGATGGAAATAAGAAAAGTTACATTTCAGAAACATTGATTGAATGTATACCAAGTGCCAGGCATATACTGAGTGCTGTCCATGTGCTCATTTCACAGGGTTGACTGTGTGTCTACCATGTGCCAGATAGGGCAGGTGTGGTTGATAGATGAAGGGATGAGACAGATTCCTACCCTCAAGGAACTTAGGAGGATGGACAATAAGTCCCCAATATGAAGTGGGCAAGGGAGAAGGTGATTGGAGGTGAGTGACAGAGAGGATGGCAATAGGGTCAGAGAGTGTTGGCCCCACAGAACCCTTTGCAGGGGTAGGATCTTGGCTTTTCTTCTGAGAAAGCTGAGATGCAGAGAGCCCAGAGGTTTCCAGCAAAGGTGGGATGGATCTGAGTTTTGTCCAAACAGGGTCCCTCCACTGTGGGATAGGTCGTAAACCCTGGGAACCAGAGTGAAAGCTGGGAGACCTGTCCAAGGATGTGCAGCTGCTCATGGTAAGAGAATTGTGGAGATTTATGGACTGTGGCTACAGGAAGAGGTAGAAAGAATCAGCTGGATTCTGGGTGGATTTTAAAAAGCTGGCAGACATTGTGGGTAGACTGCAAAGAGAGGAGGCAGAGAGACACCAATGTTCTCAGTCTCTGCACTTGGAAGAAGGAATTTCTATTACCCAAAGTGGCAGAGAGTGCAAGAGGGAAAAGACAGTAACTGGATTTGGGGCATAGGAAGTTATACATGCTGATTTGTCTTCAAAGGAAGAGATGAATTAGATCTTAGATATCAGACCATGGAGTCAAGGAGCAGGCCCAACACAGAAATGAAAATTTAGGAGTTATCACAGTACAGAAGGTATTTAAAGCCATGACAGGAGGCTCATTGCAGAGTCAGTGTAGATAAAAAGAGCTAAATCCTGAACCTTGCGGTATCCCCATGTTAAGCGGTTTTGAACAATAGAGGCTGAAAAAGGAGAACTCGTGAGGTAGGAGGAAAACCAAGGGATTGACATCCTAGAGGACAAACAAAGTGAGACTGCACAGGAGATGCTCCCACTGACTGGCAGCTGCCCTGGAGCATGAGACATAATTCTCCAAGGCAGCTTCTCCAAGAAACTGGATGTCATCCAGGCCCTTCACTGGCATGGTCTCCATGCAAGGCCCCAGGAGGGGCCCTAAGGATATAGTCACACATTTTTATAATATTTGATAAAGAAAGATATTTTAACCACAATTAGTTAAGATGTAGTTTCTTCCCATTTGACTTTGTTTATGGTGTTTGAGCAGGAACATGGGGTATTTTGGGATCCAGCTACAGGGAAGTTGACTTGGGAACACATTTAACTGGAGATTAGTGAACTATAACGACATGTTAAAGCCATTTCTATGTTCAGTTGAGTTATTGCCAGGATTCCAGGGTGAGTCTGACTTTAGGGATACTCCATGGCCCATTTACCAGGTATCTTGTCCAAAGGGCAGGACCAGGTCGTCTCTTGATACAGACATGTCCTCTGGTGCCCAGTACCAGGAGTATGTGGATAGTGAAGGAAGAAGATGTGCAATGTATGAAGCCAGAAGCCGGTCTATAAACATTTCTTCTAAATCTTAGAGTTTGTATATGACATGAGTTTGATGGAGACTTTCCTAAATTTGACAATACAATTGTTTGTGCTGTTACCAATAATACATTGTGAATTGAAAATAATGTTTTCCAAACTCTTAATAGTTAAAAAGCAAATTTTGATCAGCCATGATGGAGGGAAGATTGAATTACCTTTCTACTCTCTCCGAAGAAAATTATAATAAACTCTCCATGTCATAGAAAGAGGTAATCCAAAGTTACATAATAATAAGATGCAAGGATAAAAGCATTGCAGAGGTATATGGTGATAAATAACAATGACGAAGGATATTTTTCTAGATTTTATGATTATGGCATTTGCCAGGATTTTAAAATTAAAATGTTGTTATGATTTATTTTCTTATTCTAAATATCTATTTGCTTTTACATCTAATTTTGCTTTGCTGATTTTTAAAAGCACCCCTTTACAAAGTGCAAATGTTTCAGTTCCCCTAAAACCTGGTCTTGCTCCTGGTGATGGGAATATTTAGAGAGGAATGGGAGAAGCCTGTGGACAGCACTGTCTAGGGTTGTCACCTAAAGGAGAACAAAAGATGGAAAGGTCCCTAGGTGGGATGGTAGACACATTTATAATTTCAAAAATAATGAAAATAATTTTATAGAGGAGAAAGGTCTGATACTGACGAACTTGGGTGGGTTTAAGAGGATGAAATTGGTGCTTTGATGGAAAGATTGGAAAAATGAACAGGCATTTAGATGGGAGTGCCTAGACCAGGCCAGATGGCGATTCAGCTCAGTGGGGAGATGAGGTGGACAATATGAGGATGTTCTTATTCTAAGTTCTTTCAGCAACCTGTGAATCAGTTACCACATATTATAGATAAGGAAATAGGAGCTCAGGAAGATGAGCATACCTGCTGAGGTACTCAAATAGGAAGTGATAGATTGTCTCTTGACTCTTGCAGTACAGGGCCAGAACAGTACCTGGCAAATAGAAGTTTCTCAAAAAAAAATTTTTTTTTGAGTTGGAGTCTCACTCCATTGCCCAGGCTGGAGAGCAGTGGCACACCTCGGCCACCCCAACGTCAACCAGCTGGGCTCAGGTGATCCTTCTGCCTCAGCCTTCCAAGTAGCCAGAACTACAGGCACACATGCTACCACACTTGGCTAATTTTTTTGATTTAATGTAGAGATGAAGTCTCGCCAAGTTGCCCAGGCTGTTCTCGAACCCGTGAGCTCAGGCAATTCCCTCACCTCGGCCTCTCAAAGTGCTAGGATTACAGGCTTGAGACACCATGGCTGACCAAAATATTTTATAAAACCAATTAATATTAAAGAATAAAAACACATTTTTCCTATGGAGATGTCTTAATAGTCCCGACATGGTCCTCCAAGAATTTCTAGCCTTTGACCTTACTCTCCCCCTCCCCCTCAGACTGGGTGATGTTCACATATCCTTAAGGTCTTGACTTAGATGTCAGTTCTTCAAGGAAGACTTCCTTGACCTATGAACTAGGTTAAGCTTTCACTTAAATATCTTCCTTTCCCATTATGCATTCTTTTGATGGCAATCTCTCACTACCTCAATCAGATAATTGTTGTGTAATTATTTTTGAACATCTGTCTCTCTTCTTAGAACTATAATCCCAGAGAGTCTTTGTGATATTATTAAATCCCTTGTACCAGACCCCTAGAAAATACTTTTTATTTATTTATTTTACTGTTGGAACAATGAGTTGTTTGAATAGAGTTAAAAAAATGAGAATTAGATTATTTTTCTTTTTTTGAGCAACGTAAGTAAAAGGCTTTAAGAGGTCAAAGAGTTGAAACCAGAGAGCTAACCTGACTCTCCATGGATTTCAATTCACAGGCCTGTCTCTGACTCTCATTAGCACATTCAAAGGGAAGCTTATTAGCAGGTCTCTCTGAATTAACTCAAAAGAGCTCACTTTTCTGCCTAAAAGTCATCCAATACTGAGATGATGATCTCATGCTCAGATATCAGGATCTATTTTCTCAAAACTCATTGTATATCTTTGACCATATGCTTTATTTAACAGAACAATTTGGTAAATGTGGGTTTAAAATCCTAGAAAGACTAAAATGAGATACTTATTTTTCATAAACTGGCAACTATTTAATTATAATTATTTTTTATAGAGATAGAGGTCTCGCTATGTGCCCAGACTGCTCTCAAACTCTAGGCTTCAAGTGATTCTTCTGCCTCAATCTCCCAAAGTCCTGGGATTATAGGAATGAGCTTCCACGCCTGACTCAGCAACCTATTTTTAATATTTTCTGTGCAATGATGATTTAAATTTCGTGTGTGTTATGTTTGTGTTTTTATAGTGTTCCAAGAAAATATTAAAATGCACTAATAAGTTGGCCTCCCAAGCACAGTCATTTCCAGGGCTTTCCTTGGAGTGAGCAAGTCTACCCCTGTGGGACAGGGAGAATTCTCAAGGCAGAGAAGCTTAAAGTGTCTAGTTCAAAATTTGCTGATGTCTGCTCCACTCTTTAATCCCACCTTACCAGTTTTAGCTTTGATTTCCAGTCTGGGGGAAGGAAGGCAGGAGATTTTGTTCATTGTTGGCTTATTTGTCCCGGCTGGTTAATTGCTTTTTATTATCTGCTGAATGGTATAATTAGGTGTGCAATCCACCATATTTTGCTTTCATTAAACTTTACTTAGAAATGTTCTATGTGAATGAGTTTTATGAGAGAGAGAGAGAGGAGAGAGAAAGAGAGAGAGAGAGAGAGAGAGAGAGAGAGAGAGAGAGAGAGAGACTTGTGTGTGTGGGGGGGCGGTCACATCCAACAGTGACTGATCTATTGCTAATAATGGAGCATTTGTCAATTTTGGGTTTGGAGTATAAATTTTTCTAGTTCCCAACCCAATGGCCTTCTTTATCCTTCCAGATTTATTATGTTTTCCTGTAACATTAACTTTTACATGTCCTCAGGGTAATTTTGTCACTTTGGAAAGATATTTTAAATTGAGTGATATTTTGGCAGTATATACACTGTGTCTTACATATTAATTATGTATCCTTTCTTTAATACATATTTTACTGAGAACTAGGTGGAATCTCTTGTGACCAAGAGTTCATCCCTGAAGACAAATTTAATGATGGATATTTTCTATGCTTTTCTAACTGACGTGATCTGGGGGTTAGCATTCCTCAGAAAACATAGGCAGAACCAGTTAATGGTTCTTTAACTCTCTTTTCAATAAAAATACAGTTATCACCAACCAATTGAATTTGTTGAATTTTCTTTATCACTCTTAACCCTGGAAGCAGGTAACTAACATATTAATGGTGTAGATCTTGAGGTGTTAAAATAACTCTGTGTTACAGTTTAAAAGACATGAGTTAGGAAGGGAAGAGTATCACAGAGTCAACACATTACAGCTACTCTCTCCCAGTGATTAAATGTACAACTCTAGAAAAAGTATCAATAACTGCTAAATCTAAACATAACCAATAGCAGACTGGTTGAGGAGGGAAAGCAAAACATGAAAAAGAAACGTATTTTTCACTTTTCACATTTCATATTCAAGCATTTATTCCTGGATGGCCCCAGTTGCTAAACTACACAACAAATGTGGACACCAAAGACTTTAAGAGAAACCTCATCTTGCTAGTCAGAGAACCAAGAAAATGGACCTTAGCAAACCAGAAAGTATAAGAAGAATACTCTCCTCCTCCTCCTTTTCTTCCTCTATTTCTCCAGCACCACTTCAAGGATGGCCATAGTCATGGAATTGTGTATTGAAAACATGGAAAGTTAAAACACTGAACACTTCCCCCCGTCATCACTATTATTTTTAATAGAAAATTGGGAAAAAGGTTATCTGGAGACTGGACAGTAGAGGGTAATCCTGTAGTGAAAAGGACTGGAGAAGATCTGTATATTCTAATATAAACCAACACATGTCTTTCTGACTTACCCTCAAGCAGCATTTACACAGCAAACATCTAAAGCAACATGGCAGAACTTATCTATTTTCTGTGCTATAAGCTATTGTCATCAATAATATGCTAGACTAACCCCTTGTTGTACATACAAGTAGGGTGATTGCACACACACACACACACACACACACACACACACACACACAAAACACAGCATGATCAAATTTTGTTTAATCTGGGAATGCAGGGCTAGTTCAGTCTTTAAGAATCAATAATCAATAGCCTTCAGAAGCTTTCCTCTTCAATATAAAAGCTGAGAGTTAATCATAAGATTACACAGTGCTCTCCAACTTCTTCCATCACTAAGGCTTCAATATAAGGTAATTACAACTGGAAGATCTTCAAGATGTGGACTATCTCTATGCACAAAGGGAAGACCAAGTCCCCAGCAGAGAAAAAACAAGGAAATTTGAGGAATATGAAACTTCTGGCATCCACAGATATAGAAACTATGAAAAACTCAAATACATTATAAAAAGGAAATGCAGGGAATCAGAAGGGCAATGATAGAAATAGTGAATGCCTTTGGGGGATCATCTGTAGCCAGGGCATGACCAAGACAAGCACCAATGAGTTGAAAGATAAAT